TTGTACATTTATACTGTATGTTGTGATGAAAGCTACCATACGTCCACTTTAGTTGAGGGGGCACAAACATGATGAATTCATGAGAAATTAAGCTTTAATTCATGGCATTCAACGACAAAAATGACAAGCTCAGGGCTCGCGCTACCCGTTCGTCAATTCGCAATTGACGATCTCTCCGGCAGTTTGACGATCTGTAAGTCACATTTGACGATAAATTTGACGAAGACCTTTCAAAAGTGGGGTCACGAGATTTGCGCAAATCTGCAATAATATTTGGGGGGGGGTTAATATATAATATAGGGTCGGCCAAGAAAACACAACTCACAAGCCGACTCTGGTTCTCCGACTCCGCGTACCGCACTCCGTCTCCTGTCCGGGGTGCAAGCTCCAGGAACGTCATGAAGAAGCGTGAAACGAACCGCGCGTAGCCTACTTTACCCTTATGCTGCGTTCAAAACAACTCGGAAGTCGGAAAAAAACGAGCTCCGAGTTGTCAAAAATGAATTGAACGGCGTCGAACTCGGAAATTACAGGTCGGAAACTCGGGTATCATTTCAGAGCTCCGATTTTCCGACTTGATGTCACATTCACCGAAAAATGGCAGATGTGTAGTTTACTTTTAAGCAAATATGGAAGTTTTTCTGATTAAAATACATATGTATGAAATCAATCATATTTCATGGATCACCTGATCGGTTTCGGTTGTTCTTCAGTGTCACGAAAAAACTGGAAACGGCTGTCAGTGTTTTCTTTAAACGCTCCAAGCATTTAAATACAACTCAGCGTCTTTGCAGCATCCATGTTTTTCCCACATTACGACTTCAAAGCACATGAACACAACGAAGTCGGAAGAACGATTTGCCAACTTGGGAACTCCGACCTTCCGACATCATGTGAAGGCAGCATTATTAGGACGGAGTACTCCACCCACCAGCTCATGCTCGAGCCAATAGACTACGCAGCTGTTAGTGGTACTGATTACAGTTGTTGTTCCTTGAAGCTCAATGGACAGTAAATAACATTTGAAAGTACTTTGTTATCAATATTTGGTCCTTTGTACTGAAAAATAAAAAGCAAGTTGATGCGGTTGAATTTATGCAACATGGTGATGTTGCACATGTAGTCCATGTTAATCTAATTTTACCAAGTCCAAGTGTTCAGTTCTCACTCAGCATAACACCACAGTTGTTCCTTGAAGCTCAATGGTCAGTAAAGAACATTTGAAAGTACTTTGTTATCAATATTTGGTCTTTTGTACTGAATAAAAAGCAAGTTGTTTTTTGCATAAATCTTTTTTTATTTGCATTTCTTTCATAGGCAGTAGCTTCTTCTGTTTTGCCAAAGCCTTCTGACCCCCTTCCTCTTCTTCTGGACTTGGGACCAGCTTGTTTAACCTGTGTCAGTAACTTGCAGATTAAAAAAATAATTCATGCAAAAAGCAGAATGAAGCAAGCTAAGGGAGAAAGTCCCAAGTGAGGTGGGGTTAATACTAAAAAAACCATGCTACTAGCACAGGAAACAAGGAAGGCGAGGCTAAGTCAGAAAGGACAGAGGAAAGCACACGGTCAGATAGGACATTTAACAGCACATTGTTGTAAGTAAAAGCATGATAAAAATAATACAACGACGGTGCAACAAAACCTACAAGAAATTGATTGGTATTAGAGACCCTCACAACTGGACATCAGATAAAAAAAAAAGTGACTAGGGGTAAAGTTATTTGACTAATTGACATTGCTTTTTGGCTAATCATTTGACTAATAGGTTTCAGAAGCCAGCTCTAGCCCTGCAAGCTAATATACTCACCACTTTAGTTAAGGGGGCACAAACATGATTCATTCATGGGAAGCTAATATATGAAGTAAGGATGAAGTAATGGATGAAAACATCTATTTCGATTCTGCCAAAAGTGAAATGACTGTCTTTAATGAACCATGAACTCATCATGATCATGCTTAATTACTTTTGATTCATGATGAATTCATTACAGTAAGTAATGCCTTAGTTGATATGATGTTATTGCATGAATTCAGACATGAGTAAGCATGAATTCATGTTAACGAGTTGGAAACGAGTTGGATTTGGACTCTGTACAGAGAGAGGTTCATTTCCGGAGCAGAGCTCTTAAACCGTTCATTATATCTTTCTGAAACTTTGTATGTGCATTACCCAAGTACTGAAGTGGTGCCTCTTCATATTTTCAAATTTCTAAAATTATTTTTTTTTCCTTTCCATGGAAGCATGTCAACATGTGGTTCATAGTCTTTGGTAGATGTTGCCAGTACATACTTCCAGATAATTCCAGAGGAAAATCACCTCAACATTCTTGTTTGAATTTCTTTGAAGGTGTGGGATTGACATGACTTTCGCAAATAATCAGGGGCCAGGGGGATATGTGATCTTCTGATGACTATTGTTTTGTTGGGTAAAAAACAAGCGACTGAAGAACAATCTCAGTAATGTATTTTCAGCAAAATTACCAATATAGGTCCTCGCTTACAAATTGAATGAACATTATTTTACATTTTACATTGCGCAACTTCATTTTGCTGCAGTCAAAGGCTTGTTCCAGCAGTTTGTACGGACGTTTCTTGGGAGGTTTCACCTACCAACGGTACTTCAGTACTTGCATAAAAGGCAGCAGTATTTCAAACTGAATAGTGTTTCTACAAGGGAGTCTGCCAAGACTTCTCAATAGAATAAATGTAACATACGATTATTGCGTGCATCACGAAAAAGAAAAGATTAGGGCAGCCAACAGAGGACTGGGCAACACTGTTGGCAGCTACAGTAAATGCAGGTTATCATTTTAATCTCAGAATATTACTGCATGATAAGTTAACTGCTCTATGAAACCACTGAAAAACATTTTAAATTATATGGTTTAAAGATTATGGTTTCATTAAAAAATGAAAAGGGTCTCTTTAGCCTCCCCTACTGAGGGAAGTTTATTTGTTGTTTATGGTTTATTGAGTGTGAAGCATGAAAAAAAGTCAAATTTGAGACCAGTTTATGTTGTTTACCCGCCAGTTTATGTTGTTTACCCTCTGCAGAGTTTTTCATCCCAGTAAATGGCTTGCTGGTGTCAGGCCAGTGGGATTATGCGGCAGTTACTTCTGAAGAATTTGGCTGCGGTTTGCTATTGCTTTTAGTCTTCTACATATTGAGGGCTAAAGACTTTGATTCAGAGTAGCAAGAGCTCTGGAGCGTGTGCGAACTGAACTCTCCAAAGGGAGCTCCTCTGTATATATTTGACTTGTAGAAATATGCCCATCTGTAAGAGACGTGCTGATAGGTCAGAAGTTTGAGAAGTGGTACACACATTAACACAGCTGCAAGTGCGTCTCTCCATCTTTCAAATGAGAGGTTGACTCCAGGGGGTTGGAAGTAAGGGTGCTGTGGAATTTCTATTAATAATCTTATAGTTTGTGGCAGTTTAGTAAAATGGTTAAGCCCTTGAGGGCTGAATCACAAAGCCGGCTTATTGAGTTGACAGCATAACTGCATGGGTAGAATTAGTTTGCAATGACTCGTTTTGCTTCAGATCACATTTCAAACTTAGGTGATTTTCACTAACCTCTTAAACCCGAATGCCTCCGGTACCGGGCGTGATCATTACACATCATAAATACAGCATGTTTCCTCATAGCATCACCGTCATGCGGTATATCCACTTCACGGGAAGAAACTAGGCAAAAACCATTTTTACTTCAACCAAACACAATTCAAGCACCAAGCAAGTAAATAAGCATGTAGCAAAACATAGGATCAAATAATATCAGTGCTCGATTGTTAGCATTTCTACAGAATTTGCGTTAGACATCCCAGTGGGCACAACAACGTTAAGGCAACATTGAAATGACATCACGTCAAATATTGGAGCAACGTTGAAATAAGGTTTTAAAGATTTTTTTTTTGAGAACTTTTTCCTCTACTCGACAGCCGTACAGTGCAGAGAGACAGGAAAGTTGGGGAGAAGAATGGGGGAAGACATGCAGCAAATGACCCGAGCCGGAATCGAGCCCAGGTCACCACGGGAAGGGCACAGCCCCCACGGGACGCGCGCCCAGAGCCACCGGGGCGCCCCGAAATAAGGTTGAATTAGAAAGTTGACTGGACGTTGGCAATCTGACGTTGCATCAATGTTGGCGCCCAAACTTAGAACTATTACTCAAACTCGACACAACGTTGCATTTTCAACCAATAAATAACGTTGAAGGAGCCAATGTTTAATCAACGTTGATTCAACATTAGAGTTTTGACAACGTCAGAGATTGAATGGTGTAACCTTGGTTCAACATTGAATCAACGTTGTGCGACGTCATGACCAAATATCAACTTAATGTCAACATTGAAATGACGTCAAGTGCCCACTGGGATACGAACAATGCATCAAATGAAAGTGGAAAGTCCACAGAATCCAACGAAATAAGCCATGTTATTTTAAGGTGACACCACACTCAAAGAATAGCAGGCATACACTTTAAATTCTACAGAGATGAGCAAAAATTTTGTCTTACCTTTGATATTTTGTAATAAAAAGAATGTGTTCGAGAGTAAATCTGTGCTTGCTGTTGTTAGCCCAATGTGTCCGTGTTATATTGAAACTAGATCTTCCAGTCTCCATACATGTTTTTCCCGGGGCATTGCTTCAAACGATCTCAGCTCCTGAGCATTCCACTCACTCGCAATGTATTTTCCTCTCTGTGATGGACTTGTGATAGTGTCAGTAAGACTTTGCAGGTGACCATTTGATTCTATGGGCACTGTCATCTCCAACAAGCCCTAAACCACATTAATCCCACAAACCGAGCCTGAGATAGTTAGATGCATCGGGAATGCAAGGCTCTAAGTCCATGGGCAATTTACATGTAAAGAGCGCAACAATATAAATGCTTTACTGATTCGTTTGTAGTATTTTCAGTGTAATTATTTGTTGTTTTCTGACAGAGTCCTCGTGTCATTACGCACAAGCACTAAGACAGGCAGGAAATAAGTCAGCTGACGTAGCTTAGTGGTTATGGCAATGCGCTCTCCCCTGGGAGACTAAGGTTCAAATCCTGGGTTGGCAAGCACCTATTTAGACTGTAAAAGCATTATTCTTCAATAAATAATTGCTGAGGTTTTTATTCTTTTTACTTTAAAATTTTTTTTTTTTACTATTTTTACCATCTCTTGTATTTATAATTTTGTTTATTTGCTTGGTTTTTTTTAATAAATCTGCTCCAGTGGAGTCAGACTTCATTTTCTTTGTATGTATTTTCTTTGAATAGGAAAATGTATTGACCGGCAGAGATAATAAAAAAAATTACAAATTTTTGAAAATTAAAGTTGTATTTGGATAGAATGTATGACATATAATTGAAATTAAATGAGTTTTACAGTTTGGTACCTGAGAAATGTGAAATGGCACTCAAGGTACCCGAACTACCAATTTGGAGAAGCCACCTTGACATTCCTTTCTAATTTTGCTCTGATTTACCTGATCAGAATAAACTTTGGCACAGATAATAATGAGATTCTGTGCTGTAATTCTTCAGAGGTTTCAGACTGCTACCAAATAATTTCAAGTGGGATAAAAGTAAAACTTTGTTTGGTGCAAATGAGATGTTTCATTTATACTGTGTTCCATCTTCATTTACTCTGACTCAGTGACATATACACTGATTTTTACACCACGACAGAAATTCCCAAGGTGTTACCTTTATTATGATACCAAGATTATTCAAATGGACCGAGTAGTTGCAGAGATATACTCATCTAATTTTGGGCGTGTCATGTTCGAACCAGAGGCTCAGGGCTTAAGAGGTAATTAAACCATGTTGCTTGTTACTCGGTTAACTGAGTCATTCTGTTTTCTGAAACGAAGCACTGGGCTTAAAACATGAAGTTTGGAGACTGCTCAATGAAGCTGTATCCTGCCTTGAATTGATTGTGCATTTACAGATATAATGCAAGTAACGAACCCGTAAAATTAAACAATCCTGGATTGTCTGGCCCCGGGATGATTCTGGTCCTCCATTGACTTTCTAATAGCTCATGTGGAACAGAAACCTTAATGTTACAGCTTTGTGATAATATGAGTGATATAACTGTGGTGTTTATGGATTGCTGTGTGAATTCAATAGGGGGAGCACAACTGTATTTCCAATATTACTATTCACGCAAGCATATTCAGAGTATGTTTTTTTTATGCTGGAAGGATGCTGTTCCTGATGTAGCACACAGATGTTTCAAGTGTGAAGTGGGCCTTGGATGCCTTTCAACCTGCAGCTGATTTGGACGTCCGCAATTAAAATGATTCACAACCTCATCCAATCATAAGCTTCGTTCAAGAAGCACAAGGCCAGCAACCTGAAGCTTTTCAGTGGACACGGCTCATTTAAAGAGTCAAATCAATCAGTATAGGTTTGGCTGCCTTTTCATTGCAGCGCTTATTACTGGAGGAAAACATGAAATACTTTGGTTGAACTTACCACTGGAATTATAGGGAGGAAGGGGGCAGAGTTCAGTTAAAAATAACTCACGAAAGAAATCATATACTTTTGAAAGAAAGTCTGAATTCATACCTTATGAAATGCAGCAACAACTGTGACTTTAGTGTGACTGAATTGAAAGAATATGTACTGTGAAATTCAGTGCCTTGGAGTGGACAGCTTTACACCGTTCCCTGTTTTCTGTATTAGGTCGATAGCCGGCAGACGTTGGGAGAATTGTTCATGGAAAGTTTTTTGAAGGGAGCAGTTTTTTTTTAAAGAACATCCTAAACTTGATTTTAGCCCTTCTTCAAAGTTAGTGCATGCAGCGTTTGATGCTGAGGAGCATTTTTTAAAAAATTTTATAATTTTTTGGGACAGTCTGGATTTAAAGATGCTTTATTTTAAGCATCATGCATCATGTCCTGAGAAGAACCTGCACAGTCTTTGTCCCAGGTATTTTTAAAGAACCGGACACACGGTGTCATTAAATCTATTAATTAATTAATTTGTTAGTTTGTTTGTTAATTTATTCCCTTTTTTGTGTTGCCATAGATAAAAAGCACATTTGGGACACCAAATGTTGATTTAATAAAATGACATAATAAAAACCAAACAGCCAATTATCTTACAAAACAGTAAAACTGCAGGACAGTGTTCCTAATTTTTAGGCAAATGGTAGTCACAGCGAACATTGATTTGAATAAGTTTTAACAGTTCAAAGCTCTTAGTAGTAAATTTTTCAGGATTTAGAAACCTGTCATTTCATAATATTTGGAGGCAACTTTCTCACTCAGAAATGTTTTAAATGTGCCTTAAACTTTTGCACAGTGTAGTTTAAATATTTGCAGCTGTTTATTATGAATGAAAATGAGCATGTTTGACAAACTGACTGATATCTTTAAAGTCATTTTATCTCCATTAGATGTGTGACTCAAAAATAAAAATAGTGCCATGGGCACTCTAGCTCAGTTGGTTTATTTCAGGCTTTAGTGTTTGGTAAGCTCATAACTGGCGGTATTTTTTAAGCTTGGGTCCAACACTGGGACAATGAAGACAACTTTTGTCATTTGTATAGGATATACAGTATATAACTACAAGTTACTGCGGGGTCCAAGCAACAGGGGTAATCATCAGTTTTGAAAGAAATTGTACAGGTTTTTCCAACAATTTCCAGTTCATGGCACATAACTGTGCATGGTATACAGTATTTTGCCCTGCAAATTTCACGTTGTTTAGTCACTGCCATGTCTTTGAAATGACAGCTGTCTTCTGATTCATGTGTCCTTGCCTGCTCCCTTACCTCATTTGACTGAAGTCATAAAAAGTAACATTCTTCTCTTCACATCGATCAACTTAAACAGCGTCAAACTAATTTTCATTCCGGTAGATACATTATTGTATTGCTAGTGACACACTGAAAGAATAGTCATTGAAGCATGAACATTCCTGTGCACATTTTGTGATGATATGAAAATAATTATGAGAAGACCTGGCAAATGCATGTTCTGTTTGGATATGCTGGGTTATTTTTAGAAATTAACTTTTGGATTCTAGAAAGAATATTGGGTTCAGATGTTTCACAATAATGGCACGACAAACGTGCTTTCAGGGTCTGTTTTGACAGTACAAAACTCCTACACAGGTGAAACACATGTCCAGTGTTCTTCACGGGGAAATGACCTCACACTTGTTCAATCACAGGTTAAGGTTTAAACTTAAGCAAGGGTCTCGTTAGTGCTAATTTGATGAGTTGCTGTGAAGATAAGTGCGCTTCTCCCCTGAAAGGTGCTGTGTTGCTCATGAGCCCAGGAATCACAGTCAGGTCTAGAGACCTAATCACCTCATTTATGACCCTTCATTTCCCCGCAAACCATCTGCTATGGTAATTCTTCAAAAAAGGCACATTTTCAATGCCTAACATCCAGAATATTAATTGCATCTCATGCTCAATTTTCCTTAGGTAGGAAAACACAAAGACACAGGGAATATTTAGCATATTACAAAAACAAAAACCAATTTGCCTAATCCAATTAACATTCCTCTAAAAACCACCACAGATCAAATATTCTTTCATAAATGCAAAAATATGTCAATTACCCATTACTCATTCAATGCTTAAGATATATTGGCCTTGGGCTTACATGATGGATACCAGCAGGGCTCTGATAAGGTCTCTGATGCAGTAGTTTCAGGCGTACACAAGCAATCCTTCACAATTTTCCCCTGCTGATTGCTTTTGGGTAATGAGTACCTTTATCAGCAAATGCAAACCATAATTGGTTTTCTCATCTAATATTATTAGTGCATCCATGGAATATGTATTTTGAAAAGTATATTTTGAGCTTCGTCAACATCAGCTGCTTTATGGTTGAGGTGTTGACATCTCCCTCTGTCTGGAATGGGGTGATCTCGGCAGTAGCATCTCTGTGGCTGTGATCAGTTCTTGGCGTGGACGGCCCTCCATGATGGCGTTTCCTCATTACTCATTATAAGTCATTTTTATCCTCTTACTTCATGAAGTCTCAATGGGTGTGGGAGAAGTTGAGGTGGAGAAACTGGGTGGTTGGGGGAGAAGGGGTTGTTGTTCTTCCTTGTTGTGATGTTGTTTTTAATATGTAAAGCACTTTGTGCTTCACTTCTTGTATTGTTACAAACCTTTTTTGGATCCGTGAGGGACAAAGGGAAGCAACACAACGGCGTTGGTAAAAATTTGCCGGTTAGCCGATGTTTGTTTAATGTATTCGTAAATTGGCATCGGAACACAGAAATCAATGAATATGTATACAAAGTGGCCAGCAGATGGCAGCACAATATCTAAACTTACAGCAAACGATAATACAAAAGAAAAACAAACAATTGGCCAAAGCGTAAATTCAACACAACCCAGCTCCTACAAATGAGTAAAAACGAGTACCACTATTCTACTAAACAAAGCTTAACATGTAGATCAAAAATAATCTATACTACACAAGTCAGCAAATTATAGGAAGTGGCACAGAGCAATAAGGCAGACTGTTAGATCACAGCTGCGCTCAGTAGACGGTGGCGTGGCCTTTAGTATGCTCCCAGTCTCCGCTGATTGGTGGGTGGAGGTGCCACGGCCGGCGGAGAAAGCGCAGCTGGCAGTCGGTGATTGGTTGGAGGGGAGTCGTGTCTAGAGGGAGATCCCAGAGGGGGGAAGGGAACCCCCGAACGACGTCATCTCCTTTCCCGCGCCATCAGGTCTTAAGGCCAGAAACCTCTGTTGAAGTAGATAATAACAATAGAATTCCACAAGCCCGTAACAGTATGAAAAGTGCTGTATAAATAAAGTTTGATTTGATTTGATGAGCATCAGTCGTTTTGCATGATTAGACGCTGACATGTTAAATTTCTGAATAGTCCTAGAATGAGATGTCATGCCACGCCTCCCAACGGTCCGCATCACCAGAATTCTGAAGAACCGGTCTGCTCGTGCAATTACCACTCATCAGCACCACCTGTCATCAATTACTCTATTATCATTGTAAATCGCATTAAAGTCCCGACTTCGCAGCATTACGGTGTGAAGTCTCGTAAAGCTCATGTCTTGTAAAGGTTTTTTTGCCATAGC